CTTCTGGAGGCAGTTGTTCCATTGGTTAATTGTTCTGTCAGGAAGTTTCTCCTTAGTTCTAGGTTGCTTCTCTCCTTGATTAGTTTCCATCCGTTGCTTCTTGTCCTGCCTTCAGGCGCTTTGGAGAATAGCTTGACTCCCTCTTCTTTGTGGCAGCTCCTGAGATACTGGAACACTTCTATCATGTCCCCCCTCCTCCTTCTCTTCATTAAACTAGACATACCCAATTCCAGCAACCGTTCCTTATATGTTTTAGCCTCCAGTCCCCTAATCATCTTTGTTGCTCTTCTCTGTACTCTTTCTAGAGTCTCAACATCTTTTCTACATCGTGGTGACCAAAGCTGGATGCAGTATTCCAAGTGTGGCCTTACCAAGGCATTGTAAAGTGGTATTAATACTTCACATGATCTTGATTCTATCCCTCTTTTAATGCACCCTAGCACTGACCTATACCATTTCAGATATGCATACTGTACACACCGTATGGATAGTCCCCATTCAAAGTTACAACGGCATTATACCACAATTCACACTTATGGCCATTGCAGCATCCCCATGAATATGTGATCAAAATACAGACCCTGGGCATCTGGCATGTATCTATGATGGTTACAGAGTCCTGGGGTCATGTGATCACCTTCTGCGACCTTCTGGCAAGCAAAGACAACAGGGAAGCCAGAGTCACTTAACAACCGCAGTGATCCTCTTAACAACTGTGCCAAGAAAGGTCATAAAATGGGGCAAAAGTCACTTAACCTGTCTTGCTTAGCAACAGAAATTTTGGGCTCAATGGTGGCCATCAATCGAAGACTACCTGTACATGACACTTTCCCAACCCAGAAACAAACAAACAAACAATAGATCTTTCATTGGAACTGTCCCTCCATAATAGTCTGCTCTTGATTCCCCTTTATCTAATATGAGCCAGCAGTGTGCTGCAGCTGCCAAAAAAGCCAACGCAGTGCTGGGCTGCATTAACAGAGAGAGAGAATCAAGATCACGTGAAGTGTTAATACCACTTTACAATGCCTTGGTAAGGCCACACTTGGAATACTGCATCCAGTTTTGGTCACCACAATGTAATAAAGATGCTGAGACTCTAGAAAGAGTACAGAGAAGAGCAACAAAAATGATTAGGGGACTGGAGGCTAAAACATATAAAGAACGGTTGCTGGAACTGGGTATGTCTAGTTTAATGAAGAGAAGGGCGAGGGGGGACATGATAGCAGTGTTCCAATATCTCAGGGGCTGCCATAAAGAAGAGGGAGTCAAGCTATTCTCCAAAGCGCCTGAAGGCAGGACAAGAAGCAACGGGTGGAAACTAACCAAAGGAGAGAAGCAACCTAGAACTAAGGAGAAACTTCCTGACAGTTAGAACAATTAACCAGGGGAACAACCTGCCTCCAGAAGCAGTGAATGCCCCAACACTGGAAGTTTTTAAGAAGAGACTGGACAGTCATTTGTCTGAAATGGTATAGGGTTTCCTGCCTGAGCAGGGGGTTGGACTAGATGACCTCCAAGGTCCCTTCCAACTTTTATTATTATTATTATTATTATTATTATTATTATTATTATTATTATTATTATTATTATCATCATCATCATCATCATCATCATCATCATCATCATCATTATCATTATTATCATTATGTCTATAAAACAGCCTGACTGTTTTTGTTTTTTCCACAGCTATCAGCGGGAACAGAGAGTCCAGCAGAAGCAACCCTGACCGCCAAAGCCACCAAGTCCCCCAGAGGCAACTATCTGATCATTGAAAGTCCCCAAAGTTATGGCTTGAACATTGAAGACACCCTCACAATTGGATTGAAAGCCGTTGGATCAAATACCATCACTGACATCTACTACATGGTGAATCCCTTCAGGGGGTTTGATGGGAGATGTTCGCGAGACCCAGTGGTTTTCTCTGTTCATATACAAGTGGCTTGTCCTGTCAGTGTAGGTGGGAGTCTGCTTGAAGAACTGGGCAGAAGATTAGCAGAGGGCATCCGTGAATTCCAACTAGCAGTCTGAAGACATGATGAAAACTCCTTAATTGCGCATCACACGGACACACTAAACTATAGCTTCAATTGGGAAACTGTGAGAATCCTAGACCAGTGATGGTGAACCTTTTAGAGACCGAGTGCCCAAACTGCAACCCAAAACCCACTTATTTATCGCCGGGTGCCAGGTGGGCGTGCCCATTGGATGGGCGTGCCTGTGGTGGTCATGCAGATTGGGTGGGTGTGGCCAAGGTTGGCGTGATCACCTCAATGTTGCTCGTGGGGAGGAACGCCTGTGGGGGCTGGGCAGGGTTGGGGGAGATCCAGGGGGCCTCTGGCAGGTGAGGCGGTGGGCAGGAGGCTCATTCTGTGGGGTGAGGCAAGGCAAGGCGGGGATGCCATTGTCACAGGGCAAGATGAGGCAGGGGCGGGGCAGCTGCTGCCTGACACCATCGTCCCCTGCACACAGAGGCCAGTGAGCGCATGAGTGCTGGGATGCATCCAGCGGGCGGCTGGTTGAAGAGGGACGGTTGCCATCTCCAGGGCATGGTGCCCACAGAGAGGGCTCTGAGTGCCGCCTCTGGCACACGTGCCATAGGTTCGCCACCACTGTCCTAGACCAAAACCTCTAGAGAATTCCTGGAAGCCTGTTACTCAGACAAATCAGCCCTCAATAGATACATAGAGATAAGCAACATCTACACACCATTCAAAAGGCTAAAAGGGTAATAAAAAGACCACAACAGCTCCTCACTAGCAATCAACTCCCTGATAAGCAGAGATGAACACCAAGATTCATGTCAGATCAGCAATCAAGAAGTAAACAATACCCCAATCAACCAACACAGAGAAGCAATCAAACAATAAACAACAGCCTAATCAAGAAACTATCAAGACCGCTCCCACCTATACTGACATACCAAACTACTAGTATATAAGAAGAGCACTGATGATGTAACCTAGTTGGGTAATGAATACATGTTTTTTCCTTACCTTTTCCCAGCATGAAAACTGGTTATAGCAATAGCACTTAGACCAGTGGTTCTCAACCTGTGGGTCGGGACCCCATTTGGGGTCGATCGACCATTTCATGGGGGTCGCCAAGCAAGGCTGTCCGCCATTTTTTTTGTCCGCCAATTTTTCCCCCTTTTCCGGCGGGTGCCTTACCTCCCTTGGGCTGGGCCAGCTGGTGGTCGGCCTGCTCCGTCTCTGCCGCTTGCCAGCTACGCCTCGGCCGGTGCAGGGGGCGGAACCACGCATGCGCGGCGCTCCCGGGCAGGGAAAGTCCTCGACTTATGACCGGTTGGGTAGTCCTCGACTTACGACCGGTTTAGTCCTCGACTTACGACCGGTTTAGTCCTCGACTTACGACCAGTTGGGGTCGCGGCATTAAAAAGGTTGAGAACCACTGACTTAGACTTATATGCCGCTTCACAGTGCTTTACAGGCCTCTCTAAGTTTCTTAACCTTCTCTAAACTTCTTAGCCCTCACTAAGTTTAGAGAATCAGCATATATTCTCCAACAATCTGGGTCCTCATTTTATCGACCTTGGAAGGATGGAAGCTGAGTCAACCTTTAATCGAACTCCAGAATGTGGGCAGAGTTAGCCTGCAATACTGCATTTTTAACCACTGTGCCACTCCAGGTCCTATAAAGTGGTCTATTATTTTGTATAATTTTTCAAATATATTGTAGCTATATGCATTATCACATATGTAGCACCATAGATGGCCTCCCTCCTTCCTATCTTTTATTCCCACATCAACAACCTTGTGGGACAGGTTGGACGAAAAGATGACTAGCTCAGAGCTTCCATTGTTGAGGGCAGCTTACAACCTGGATTTCCTCACACATTCATCACAAGGCCACATCAACTTTTGAGATGAGAGGGAGGAATAGAATAGAATAGAATAGAATAACAGAGTTGGAAGGGACCTTGGAGGTCTTCTAGTCCAACCTCCTACTCAGGCAGGAAACCCTATACCATTTCAGACAAATGGCTGTCCAGTCTCTTCTTAAAAACTTCCAGTGTTGGAGCATTCACAACTGTTCCACTGATTGATTGTTCTCACTGTCAGGAAATTTCTCCTTAGTTCTAGGTTGCTTCCCGCCTTGATTAGTTTCCATCCGTTGCTTCTTGTCCTGCCTTCAGGCGCTTTGGAGAATAGCTTGACTCCCTCTTCTTTGTGGCAGCCCCTGAGATATTGGAACACTGCTATCGTGTCCCCCCTCGTCCTTCTCTTCATTAGACTAGACATACACAATTCCAGCAACTGTTCCTTGTATGTTTTAGCCTCCAGTCTCCTAATCATCTTTGTTGCTCTTTTCTGCACTCTTTCTAGAGTGGAATGAGCCCCATGGTTCCCAGAGGGTCCTATAGTTGACCAGGAAGAACAACCTGGGTCTCCCCATGCTTAGTTAGGCATTTTAAGAAGAGACTGGACAGCCATTTGTCTGAAATGGTGTAGGGTTCTTGCCTGAGCAGGGGGTTGGACTCGATGACCTCCAGGGTCCCTTCCAACTTTATTATTATTATTATTATTATTATTATTATTATTATTATTATTATTATTATTATTATTATTATTATTATTATTATTATTATTACCTTCACCTTTAAACCACAATGGATCTTCGACTGAGAGAGAAAGATTGACTCAGAGTCAAGATGACCCTCTCACTTGCCCCCATTCCTATTCCAGCACTTTAAACTTTGTGCCATAGTGGCTTGTTACGAAGCAAACTACAGACTGTCCTCAATTTGCAACTGTTTTGTGACCGTTTGAAGTTTCACCCTAACTAAAAAGAGTGACTTGTGGCTATTTTTTCACAACTTAACGATCGTTGCAGTGTCCTCATAGTCATGTGTTCAAAATTTGGGCACTTGGCAACTAGTGTGCATTTATGACAGTTGCGGTGTCCTGGGATCCTGTGATTACCTTTTGTGACTTTCTGACAAGTAAAGTCAAGGGGGAAGCCAGATTCATTTAACAACCATGTTACTAATTTAATGACGGCAGGGATTCACTTAAACGACTCTGGCAAGAAAAGGTGTCAAATGGGGCAAAACTCAACAAACGCCTCACTTAGCAACAGAAAGTTTGGCTCAATTATGGCCGTAAGTTCAAGACTACCTATACCAGGGGTAGGCAACCTTAGCTCTTTTATGACTCGTGGACTTCAACTCCCAGAATTCCTGAGCCAGCCATGCTGAGGGGAAAGGGAGATGTTCCCAAGCTGAGCCATGCTGGCTCAGGAATTCTGGGAGTTGAAGTCCACGAGTCATAAAAGAGCCAAGGTTGCTTATCCCTGGCCTATACTGAGTGATACGATTATTATTTTAATATCTGGAAGATATTGCCTCTGTGCTAAAAAAACTGTTCTTTGATTTGATCATTTTTCTGCAGGTTTTGAGCAAAGGTGACATCATCTCTGTAAACAGAGTTCCAGCTGGCATTCTTACAGTAGCCCCTATTCGTATTACACCTAGTCTGATGCCAACATTCCGTGTTGTGGCCTATTATCATATTGGGGATGAAATTGTCTCTAACTCCATATGGTTGGAGGTTGTCTCCCGCTGCGAGGGGAAGGTATGTTGAATTTTCAGGAGGGGGTTGCGTTCCCAAATCCACTCCAGAATTTTGTGCTAGTGATTTCTTTCTAAGAAAGTCAGCTGTTTCACACATTGCCACATAGCCACATTCTGTTCAGTGCTTGGCTTGCTTTTGGAGTGGAGGGGAGCGGAGCGGAGCGGAGCAGAGCAGAGCAGAGCAGAGCAGAGCAGAACAACAGAACAGAACAGAACAGAATAGAATATGGAGTGGAGTGGAGAGTGGAGTAGAGTAGAGTAGAGTAGAGTAGAGTAGAGCAGAGCAGAGCAGAGCAGAGCAGAGCAGAGCAGAACAGAACAGAACAGAACAGAATGTGGAGTGGAATGGAATGGAATGGAATGGAATGGAATGGAGTGGAGTAAAGTAGAGTAGAGTAGAATAGAATATGGAGTGGAGTGGAGTAGAGTAGAATAAAGTAGAATATGGAGTGGAGTAGAGTAGAGTAGAGTAGAGTAGAGTAGAGTAGGGTAGGGTAGGGTAGGGTAGAGTAGAATGTGGAGTGAAGTGGAATGGAGTGGAGTATAGAGTAGAGTAGAGTAGAGTAGAGTAGAGTAGAGTAGAGTAGAGTAGAGTAGAGTAGAGTAGAGTAGAGTAGAGTAGAGTAGAGTAGAGTAGAGTAGAGTGAATTCTTTATTGGCTATGTGTGATTGGGCACACAAGGAATTTGTCTCCGGTGCATAACCTCTCAGTTTACATACAAGCAAGCAACAAGTGATAAATCATGATCATAATCATCATAAAAATACACTCATCATCAGTCATACAACACGTGGTGATCGTCATAGGGTACTAAATAAGCAAACAACATAAATCGTACTAGGATACTAAATGAAACAATTAATATAAATTGTAAGATACAAGCAACATATAGTCATAAGAAGATAAGGAGATAGGTTATAGGAAAGATGAGAAGAAGAATAGCAATACAGACTTACTAGTTAGTTTGACAGTGTTGTGGGAATTAGTTGTTTAGCAGAGTGATTATTGTGAAAATCCAGATGCTTAGATTTCTAAATCATGATTTATGTTTTAGTCCCATTAATTGAGACTTGTTCATTTAAACAGGGCTTGGATTTATACCGTAGATACTTCTAATCATTGTGTTAAGCAGGTCTCAGCCAATTAGACCAGGGGTCCCAACCTTGGCAACTTTAAGACGTGTGGACTTCAACTCCCAGAATTCCTCAGCCAGCTGAGGAATTCTGGGAGTTGAAGTCCACAC